GTGATTGGCGTCATAACCGCCATCATCGGAGATGCTGCCTCCTATTTCGGTTGCGCCCTCAACATCAAGGACTCGGTAACGGCCATCCTGTTTGTCGCCCTGGGCACCAGCATACCAGGTGAGTGATTTTGAAGCCTTACCTTAGCCGAAATTTCCATTTAATCACCGGACTCCTTCTGCCTTCAGACACATTCGCCAGCATGATAGCGGCCAAGCATGACGAGGGCGCCGATAATTGCATCGGCAATGTCACGGGCAGCAATGCGGTCAACGTGTTCCTGGGCATTGGCCTGGCCTGGACCATCGCCGCAGTCTACCACAGCTCCCATGGCATGACCTTCAACGTGGAGCCGGGAACGTGAGTAATCCTTGCCAAAAAGCCTGGGAAAATTTGTATTTAAAAAAAAAAAAATTGTAAAAAATGTATAACTTTTGTGCATAGACAATAGAAATCATAAGTAAATATTCGAAGTTAATTTTTAAAAATTGTAATTTCTAGCATTTTTGAGAAGTTTTTAATTTCTAGCATTTTTGAGAAATTTTTAATGTCTAGCAATTTTCAGAAATTTTTAATTTCTAAAAAGTAACTTTAATTTACTTTAAAGTCGATTATATTTTAGGTTTTTGAAGGCTTACTTTTCTTTAAAGTAGAATATATTTTACATTTATTTTTAATTTAATGCCTGTAATTTTCAATATTTATATAAACCCTAAATCCCTTTCCAGGATTGGATTTGCCGTGGCGCTCTTCTGCGGCGAGGCCCTGATTGCCGTCTTCCTCATAATGTTCAGACGCTGGCACAAGGGCATTGGCGCAGAGCTGGGCGGTCCCAAGGTCTCCAAATATATCAGCGCAGCGATCCTGGTTTTCCTCTGGGTCTTCTACGTGGTCATCTGCATACTGGAGGCCTACGATGTCATTGAGATTTAAGGGGCTCGCAGCCGCAACCCCAACCGCATTGCTGGGACTTTGAAGTTGGCTTTGTTATTCGCATTGGCGTTGGATTTTTGGCAGAATCGGTAAAGTCAGAGGGGAGTACGGAAGTGAGAGCTGGCCGATATTGAGAAGCTGTCGAAAGATGCTGTAGATGCAGTTTTTATATGTAAACTTATGAAATTGATTTATATATATGAGTGTCCTCGGCGCTATATATAAATATTTCTTGTGTAAAATTTATGTTAATACTAAAAGTAAAATTTTAATGTTTAACTAGGTTTAAGTCAGGCTTATATACAAAACCATTTTTACGATTATTATCTCTATTCATATATGAATTGTAAATACAGAAAGGCTGCCACGGCTCAGCAATCTTGTAACTGTAACGAGATCATTTATTGTTATGCCATATATACTTAATTTTACCTTCTAAAATACGATTATATTTATTATTATATCATCATTCTGTGTACAACTTAAGTCATTGTTGTTGTTTGTTAAAGCTGTACTTAATCCATAAAGTCCCCATAAAATCAAAGCGCGGAAAGTTTGGATCCGAACTCGATATTGTCTCTTCATCTGCCGAATACCATTGTTAATTTAATACATGTGTAAGTTTTAGGAGAAATCTAAAGGTTTTAGCCAACAAGAAACGCAATCCCTCTTAGCCATCTACTACAAATACTACAACAACTACTATTACTGAATAGGAGCCTCGTCGACAACTAGTTCTAGTCCTAGTCACTTACTCTATTGACACAAGTCCAACTAGCAACATTTTCATTAACTCTGACCAAAGCAAATGGCGGCACTACTTACTAGCGATTAGCAAGAAAGACCATCAGTGTGTCCACACTGCACTGCAAGAAACTACAAGAGAGCACTAATCAATATACTTAAAAAGACTTTCTATTCGCTTACGTCGCTGGCAGTGATCGAAGTAGAAGTAGAGAAGACGGGATATTAAGGCAAACACCAAAACAATACCGAAAATAAAATACCTAGAATTGATTGTAATTGTAATCCAATTGTAACGAGCAGGTACATATTTTTTGTATAATGTTGTACTATTTTTCATATAGCAAAATTCTAGCAACTTAATGGAAGAGGAAGCCTAATGATATTTATAGCCACATGCATAAATTTGTATTATATATTTGGGGTCACACAATTGTATGGGGAACTCGTTGAGAAAACTGCGCCAAATTTAGACGTAATTGATAATTAATTACCGCATACATATACGAACTATGAAACAATTTAATAAATATACAAACATGAATAATGTATTAAATTATATTGTCAACGTTTACTGATAGATATTATAATTAAATTTCTTTTTAAATTTATTTCAATTAATGCCTTTTCATTTCTCTTTTCGAACCGAAATTAAGACGATATCAGCGTATGTCTAAGTTTTTAATAGATCGAGAAATATTACCGCAGTTAACAAGCGATTCGAGGAAATCGACCAGGGGTCAGGGTAAGATATCCGTGGCAAGGAAATCAATATATTACAGAGAGTGGAATAGAAGTGCCGGGGAGCGGTGAATGTAACAATACGACACAAAGGATAACCAGATATATATGCAGACAGACAGACAAACAAATTACCCATAGACGATTATCTTTAATGGCAAAGGCAAATAAAACGATTAAAGTGCTTCCGACATAGGATGTAGGTACTTCTAAAGAACTAGGAGTAGAACGCGTATAAGGATAGAAAGCATGAGCAGATTACTTTAGCAACTGATTGGTTCCACTTTTCCCTGATTTACCTTATGGGTTCTATAATTTCCTATTGATTTCGTACATTTTAAATTGAGTTCCATAGGTGTACGTACGATAGTTGATAGGATTCGAATCTTTATGTTTTGATGGGCAAACCAAACAGTTGATATGTATGTGTATTGTACAATATTAATCATTTGCTGTTTGTTATCGTGTTTTTTCGAATTCAAATTATACCTGCATTTTTAAATGTATACCTATGAATGTGATTTTACCCAAAAACCAAAGCAACTACAAACATATAATCGTACATCCAGAGACCCATTTAACTGATGTACTCAAGAACTAAGCCGATAAAGTATGCAAATAATCGAATAGATCGAAAGCCACATAACATATGTAGTTTGTGTAGCATATGCTTGGGGTGAAGATCTATCGATCTCACTAACCGTATCTCTTCTCACTTCAATACGCTATAAGAAAAAATACCCGAACTAATGCTACACATTTGAATATACTCGTACTCACTAAGAGAACATACTCGTACTCGTAACGTGAGCCAGGATCTAAGGATCTGAGGATCCGAGGACCTTAGCTTAACGTCTTACCTAATCGAATCGAATAGAGCCTAGGGCCTAGAGTTACTGGCATCTCTCAGCAGTGCTGCATACGTATATATGTATTCCGTGCATGTTTACCAAACGAAACTCAATAAACTAACACATTAAACCGATCGACCCGTCGCCTTTCTGATCTTACTTCCCTGAAGTCGGGGACTTATCGCTATGGGAAATATGTGGAACTGGGGGAGGCGATTATGCAATGCCCCAAAAAAGCGGATAGATAAGACCCACTGCCGGTTGCGGAAGATGAGCGGAGAGACAACGACAAGAGCCCCGGAGATAAAGTTGTTTACAGGAATCCGAGCACAAAGGCAAACAGCCACGGCAATAAAGCGATGAGACAACCCCAGCTGAAAGCTAATTAAAGTTGCGACAAAACGAAAGCCACTCGCCAGTTGTCCGCCAGTTCTCCACGGAGCACTTTCCACGGAGTTGCACTAGCTTGGAGTGTTTGTAATCGCAGGGATCCTCCCGAGAGACAGACAAGTAAGAAGGCTAAGCAAAGTATCGACTGTTAAATACCCGGTTTTCAATTTAGGTAATATTTCAAGTTATAGCAAAACAATATTAACACAATGTGCTATTGAAAGCAAAAACACAAATCCTGATTTTCTACCCTACAAATTGTGAATTTAGCTCGAAACAATAAATATAAGAATCAAAATATAGAGTGCATTACCTCGCTGAGCTAGAGTTAAAATTCCTAATCGACTCGTAATTAAACAAAAAACATTTTATTTTTGAAAATTTTTTGAAAAAATGTTAAAATTTACAAACTTAATTATACCCGTTACTCGTAGAGTAAAAGGGTATACTAGATTCGTGCAAAAGTATGTAACAGCTAGAAGGAAGCGTTTCCGACCCCATAAAGTATATATATTCTTGATCAGGGTCACTAGCAGAGTCGATCTAGCCATGTCCGTCTGTCCGTCTGTCCGTCTGTCCGTCTGTCTGTCTGTCTGTCTGTCTGTCTGTCTGTCTGTCTGTCTGTCCGTCTGTATGAACGCTGAGATCTCAGAAACTACAAAAGCTAGAAGGTTGAGATTTCCCACACATATTCTTTGGCTTCCTACGCAGCGCAAGTTTATTTTAGCCGAGCGCCACGCCCCCTCTAACGCCCACAATCGCCCACTAACGATTTTAAAATGGGTCCTGCGATCACATCTTTAAAGATTTCCGAGAAGTATAAATGCAATTTTGTTGTGTATATTTATACCTATCGAAATGTAGAAGACATTTTTCAAATCGGACAATTCATTAAAAAGTTATACGCAATCAAAAATTATATATCTATCTCCCTCGCACTCCCTTTAGCTGAGTTACGATTATTAGTCGGGACACCAACCCGACAGAGCGTTCGCACTCCCTTTAGCTGAGTGACGGGTATTAGATAGTCGGGACAACAACCCGACTATAGCGTTCTCTCTTGTTTTTTTTTTTAAATCAGCTGGAAAGTGACGAAAACAACATTATTAGTTTGCTAGCTGTTCAAAACAGTACGTATTTTTGGTTTGGGTCCATTTTTGACAATGTTACAGTTAAAAATACTAAGAAAAACTCAAATTTTTAACAGAAACATCTTCACAGCTCTTACATCCATAAATACTTTGGAAAAAACTACATCTTTTTCAGGATAATGAAATATATTTTTGCCTAAATCTTTTTGTTTTTCTCTACTATTACTATTTGAATTCAGGTTGCCCACAAAAACGTTATACCCTTGTCCTGCACAATCACCGGATAGCACAAGGCAAATATGTCCTGCAATGAGAAAACAGCGCTGCTGGCAACGCAACAAGGACATCAGCAGCGGCAGCAACAGCACATCATTGTCGTGCCGACGACGCGGAAGGATCCAAAGGATTATGAGCCCATTTTCACAACTGCTGAGTAAACGCTTTCCGTCGCATTTCATTAAAAAATAACTTCGTTACACAGCGCCCACCACCCCCCTCTCGACTCTTTCGCAGATATTCCTACGGTCTGTCGCTAGAGGAGTTGCTGCCCTTCGCTCTGGATCCCTGGTGGCAGAGTGTGCGGCGCCTCAGCTGCGGGGTCCTGGGACTGGCCTTCCTGCTAACCCTGATTGCCGGGCTTGTTATGGCCTATTCTGGCAGTGTCTGTCAGCCAAATAGAGCAATTAGCGGAAACGCCACCACGACGATGGCCACGCCATTATCCTTGGTTTCCAACGGCTCGCAGCTGCTGATGGCCAGTTTATAACGGCCGCTGGGCAATCTCAGTGACATTTCGGAGATGCTGCAATCCCCCATGTGGAATTGCATCAGCCGCATCGGCACGCACTATTTGCATTTCTTTGGCTTGCCGGCAATGGGTGCATATACTTTTCCTCCCCAGTTGCTAACTGAGCGATAAGCGATGCACCGCGGAACCGATTGATTGCGGGAGAATTCAGCTGATTAATTTAATTGTTTTTCGAATAAAAAATGTGGACACCTTTAGAAATATGTTAATCAAAAAACGCCTGAACCTTAGTCAGTACTCTGGCGTTTATAAGTATTACTGTTAAGTATAAAAAATAATAGACAAAATTTACTTTAGGCTTATGAAGATAGAAAGTACGTTTTCTTTACGCAAATAATAATAACAAGAAAGATAATGACAACACAAACATTTAAATGTTAATCTAGAGCGTACAATAAAAACATTTAATTTAGTTTTTGGCTTCAATCATTTTTTAAAACATAAAATTAATGTGTTTCGCTAAAAAAAAATACGTAATGTACAAATATTCGATTTACTAAAATAAAAATATTTTTTAAAGCCTATTATTAATGCAAAATTCAAATTATCTTCGAGTGAAAACGTTACTTTTGTTCGTAAAGAGTTTAAATTTGAATTTGTAAAATAACCATAACTTTACATACGCTAATGGCCGTTACTACATTTTCACTAACTACATGGCACAGTGGCGCCACCTGGCCGCGCCAAACAGTGTTGTCTAACGGCCGTGCTTTCGATTGTTCCATTCATTAATCGATTATTTGTCGCACTTGTTGTTGTTTACGCAAATTGTTTACGGAAATTATTTATTTATTTACCGCTGGTGGAGTGCACTTTTCGCCATGGATTTCGACAGTCCCGAGGAGAAGGAGTTTCCCGGGCTGTACGCCTCGGAGGCGGCGGATGCCAGGTCGAAGAAGAGCAAGGAGGAGAGCGACTGTGAGTGGGCGCTCAACAGACGTGGGCGTAAAAGTGGGGAAAAATCAATGCGTTCAATGCGTTTCCTTCGCAGTCAGCGAGGATCACGACCTCAGCAAGAAGGACCTGTTGATCGGGCGGCGCAAGGACAAGAAGGAGAAGGGCAAGGATCGGGGCTACGCCGCCCTGGAGGGCGAGAGCTCGCCGGAGGAGGAGCTGGACACCAAGTGGGTGAACCCCCAAGCTTTACCCACCCACAAGTAATCCCCTTTTCTGTTGTGCCCTTCCCCCAGGAGTCCCTCCAAGTCGAAGAAGTCGAAGACCTTCAAGTTTGTCAGCTCCAAGAGCAAGGAGAAGCGCGAAAAGTCGCGCGACAAGTCGGAAAAGGATGCGAAGCACGCGGAGGAGGAGCCTGGCCCCTCGCACAAGGCCAAGGAGAAGGAGGGCAAGGACAAGGAGCGCGACGAGCCCAAGAAGAAGGACAAAAAGGCAGATAAGAAGGAGAAGAAGGACAAGAAGAGCAAGCAGCTGTCGCAGCAGCAGGACGACACCTCCGCCGCCGAGGAGGTGCTGGCCCTCGGATATCCCGTCTTCGGGGTGTCCGTCAGCCTGGCCACCGAAAGGTCCCGCTGCCACGACGGCGTGGACATACCACTGGTTGTGCGCGACTGCATCGACTTCCTGCAGGATCACCTGAAGTGCGAGCAGATCTACAAGATTGAGCCCATCAAGACGCGTCTGATGCACTACAAGCGGTTGTACAACAATCGGGAGCACGACTCCGCCGTCGATGAGCTCAACCTGCCCACCGCCTGCAGCCTGCTGAAGCTCTTCCTGCGCGAGTTGCCGGAGCCGCTGCTGACCACCGATCTGGTGGCCCGCTTCGAGGAGGTGGCCTCCCATCCGAAGGTGACCACGCAGCAGGCAGAGCTGCAGCAGCTGCTCGAGCAATTGCCCAAGTGCAACCGCACTCTGTTGGCGTGGGTGCTGCTCCACTTCGACGCGGTGATCCAGCAGGAACGGCACAACAAGCTCAACGCTCAGTCGCTGGCCATGCTGCTCAGTCCGACGCTGCAGATGTCCCACCGCCTGATGGTGGCCCTGCTCTGCCACTGCAACAGCTTGTTCGCGGACGTCCAGCTGATAAAGTGAGCAAACACCGGCCAGCCGGATGTCAGTGGTGGGAAATATCCGAGTAGGCTTTGGGTAGTTCTTACCTTGTCAGGGAATTATGAACAGACTTATTCCGACCTCATACATTTAGTCTAGAGCCCTGCATGAATGGATTCAATGAATTATTTTGAATTTTTTGTTTTAATTAGAATTTTGAGTTTAATAGAATTCAATGAATGAATGGCATGAATTATAAAATAATTCTAACGACAATCTCTTTTGAAGAAGAAAGAGCCATAATTTTGTGGTTAAATCTGCCTGAATTTTATGTACTATGCAGTTAACATTGATTTGTTAAAAATTGTTCACTTTTTGTTCTCAAAAAAGGCACAAAAAATCTGGCAAATTCAAAAAATGTATTAAATTTATTCATTCATTCATTCAATTCGAAATGAATTAGAAAAACATTTCATTTATTTGACATAGAATTGAATTAAACAAATCAGATATTTCATGGCATACTAGGATAAAACAAAAATTGAATGATTCACGCAGGGCTCTAATTTAGTCATTGGGCGAAGTTCAATTTTAATATAGCTCTAGTACAAAATAACATTAAAATCGCTAAATATCTTTGTATCTAATGATACGAATTAAATAAGTTATAACTAAAGTAAAAGATACCTACAGCATCTCAGATAATTCCCACTACTGTTACCTGAAGATAAGATTATGACTGTAAAAGTCGCTGAATTTAGTCGTTTATTTCGCTGTCGAGGATGAGCACCATACCCCGCAAACAGAAGCGTTTACCGCGTCTTGTTAGCTTCCTAATCAGGCAGAAATACAGAAATTTAAACAATGCTATCGCTTTACTAACTGTTATCTTTTAGGTATGTTCCACCGCTCACATCGGCCAGCCCCAAGCTTCCGGATACGCCGGAGGACATTCAGACGGAGTTGCGCAAGCAGGACAGCCTGCTAAACCAAATCCACAGCGAGATGAATGCCGGGTTCATTACCAAGAAGCGCGAGGAACAGCTCTGGGAGGTACAGCGTATAATAACGCAGCTCAAGCGAAAGTTACGCACCTTTGAGAAGAAGCAGGAAAAATCCGTGGAGGAATTGGACACCAGCAGCAGTGCAGCGCCCACAGTCGTGAGTGAGGACACCACGGATTCCAAGCCAACTGTCGTCCCAGTCGCATCCACTAGCAGCAGTATTCCCGTCGAGGAGCCAACAACGGAGGAGCGTCCCTCCAAAGACCCTCCGATCGAGTTCTCCATTGATCCCGCAACTGGCTTCATTTTGTTGCCAAAGTCAAATCCGCACCGCGAAAATTTGCTGCGTCTGCAAATCGAATATGACGAGTTGATGGACTGGCAGAACGAACTCAAGTCCCGCATAGTCGCCGAACGCAACGAGGTCTATAGGCTCAAGCAGTTGTACGAGCAGCAGTCGATAAACAGTCAAATGGCCGCCTTGGCCACTGGATCACAGGCACCGCCGGAGTCCGAATACGAGCGAATTATCGAGCACTACACTCGCGAAAATGCGCTGCTGGAGCACAAGAAAAATATGCTGGGCATGGAGCTAAAGGAGGAACGACGGGCTTGCATAGCCCTACAAGTGGAGCTGCGATTGCAGCAGTTTTAAATGTATTAATATTATTAATGTATTACTAGGATGGGTCAATTTGCGGGATATAACTGTGATCATATCCCGGAAACTAAAAGCTCCTTTCCAAAAAAACAACAAAGACTTTACCAGGCAATCGTCTTCAAGGGTTTCGATACTATTCCTTTCTGTTTCATTTAATATTAACGATATTTAATATTGAAATCATACAAAATCTTAAATGAAAACGCTTGGAATGTTTTTAAAAATATATATTTGCCCATCTAGGCAGTCATCATTGCATCAACATCTTGGTCTGAATCAATATCGAAAAAATACGAATTTTTACAAAGAAATGTCTTTAATAGTCACAAACTGTTAAAATATACAAAAATAATATAAAGAGTAAAAGAAAGTATTAGGAAATTTACAAAACAAATTATTTTTCGACCTTTTTCCCAATTGGTTATTAAAAATGTTGACAAAGATAAGTTTTCATGACAAAAGTCTATTGTTAATTTGGAAATGACCGAGTTAGTTAATAAAATCGACCCACCAAAACATATGTATGTATATAGGCTTACCAATTTTAATTCTCAATGTCTAAATACGATCAAATGCTTTGTTTAAATTAAAGTTAACTGTTGAAATGGCGAAAAGCCTCAAAAAATCTTATTTTGTTACTTTAACTCTTCAAACCAAATCCCTTTGCCATCTTTATTTCCATACCGAGATAAGCCCGTCAAAGTTTTTTGTAATGCAGTAGCGCTTGTGTGTGCCAGACTATTAAGATTCGATTTTCTAAATCGGTCTGATGACTTAATTCCAAATCAAGAAATTCAGAGCACAGATTAGAAGATCAGGGTGCTGTTTATACATAGACGACAGATTGGCTGTTCGTTGGGGTAAAGCGGAAATGAAATCATCGCCTATTACGTCGCATCATCGTTGTGATGGTCAAGGAACTCAGTTTAGCTTTGCGTGTTACGATTACTTTATTTAATATTTATTATTTATAATTTTAGAATACATTATCATTATGCATTACGTTCGGGGGCGTGTTCTGTATTCCGCTGAAGTACAACTTAAAAATATCACACACAAATACCACGCGAGAAAGAAGAGTCCTCCGGAATGCCAAGCCGCGTCCACTCGTTCTCCTTCATGATTAAGTTATTTCCGCTGGACTACAGATCGATGGATCCATAGCTCTACGGACACTCCTTGTCGCTGATCTTTTGATAGTCTGGGAAAGGGAATAGAAAAAGGTATTAATTGTAGAAAGATTGGGAATTGGGAGATAATATGCCAGTTATTTAGGTTTAAGTTCGTAATAGAGAAAATGTTTTTCCAAACTCACTTGCATTCTGCAGGCAATTCTCCGTCTTCATCACGCACAGATTGCGATATGACTTGGTGGAGCCCTTGTCGTCCGCGGCACACACCCATCCGTACTCCTGCGTGTCGCACTCCATGACGCACTTGGTGCTGGGATCGGGCAGGCCGAGGCACTGGACCAGCGAGAGGGCAAGCAGCGCCACTATAAATAGACGGAGACATCAGAGCCAATTAGTTAGGCAGGAGGCGTGCGAAGAGAATCACTGCCCGTCAACTGGGCCCGCATACAAAGTGCCCTGATCAGCCCATCACCCATGATATCACCCACATTCACATCCCCACTACTTCGCCGATGTACGCCCATTGATTCTCCGCGACGCCAGAGCGTCTGGCAATGCCAACGATTCTATGGATGGTTGGGGGTTGGTGGACCCTGTTCCCTTGACGTTCCCCGTCCCCAGCAATTGGAATCAGGAATTAGCGCTGCATGCCTAATTAGCCTTGTCGGCACGCAATGGCACCTAATCCGCGAAACTGCGTTGCTGGGGTGTCTAATCCAATGACTCAATCAAAGTATGAAATTTTCCATTCATAAGTTTCGCGGCTGCATATGAATGAAGTTCATTCGGCTTGGAAAAAATGATTCTATTCTATCCTTACATTTGCTACATCTAAAGGCCACCATTCATTAGTGGGTCACTTTCTGCTGCTCTGACGCAGAGGCTCTAATCATTTCATATTTACAATATTAATATTAAATGCATGAGTCAGCAATACATTTATACAGAAAAATATAAGCTCAAATAGATTAATTACAATGGAGTTGTTATTCAAAAAATAAATAAAATCTTAAATAAAAATCGCATTTGTTTATAATCATTTTTATGGGAAAACCCCAAATATAATTTATGTGTAGAAGAGATTCAAATGCTTTCAAGGAGAACCTGTATAGTCAAATTTAAATTCTTGTGTTAAATAAACTGCAATTTTATTTGGTTTACCCGATTTTCTCGGAAAGCGGATCGTAAATTTTTTGTTTATTTAACATAGAAATATTTGGAATTTCTTCAAATAGCAAAATAATGAATTTCCAGGAAAATTAAAGACTTTTAATGACTTGAAATATTTTCTTTTTAGCATCGTTATTTTCAGTGCCTTTTGCTGGTCTAAAATTTAGTTGTTTACTTTTGAGTTCCCTTTTCGTCGTTAATATATTAAAATATTTAAAAATACATATTATACGTACATGCCAAGAATACTGCAGACAGCTTCATGTTGTTACTAGTTATTTTAGATTTCCGATTGGCTGGAGTACTTCGCACTTTATGGATGGAGCACACTTTGCACAACCGTATTTGCTTTGGGCGAACTTTGCGGGTCAGACGAATTAATTATGCCGTGCCTGCGCTTGGTTTCTAGCTGATTAAAAGTGTTTTACGATTTCACGATTTATATATATTCAATGGAATATATAGAATGGTCGCCTGATTTGGGGCTTGTCACTGAACTTCAGACACGTGTGTGGGCCAGTGTTTTGGTTCTTGATACGTTATTAGATTAATTAGCGCACGATTCTGATTCAGAATTGAGTGTTGAGTATTGAGAATTGTCAAGTGTAAAGTGTGAGTTTTGAATTCAGAATTGAATTGCGTTCCGATCCGATCCGACTCTCTCTATCGGCGAGGCCGCACAGCACGCGTCCAAATGCGAACTGAAACTAAAGCGCCGACCGAAGATATCCTCAAGCCAGCAGCAGAAGCAGAATCAGAAGTCGAGTGGGCTAGTCGATGGATGACTGATTGATGGCTTGGCGGCTGGACGTTGTCCGCTGGGATTGGATTGGGATGTGGATGTGGCTGTGGCTGTTAGACACTGGACACTGGGATGGCGATGATGTTGCAGATACTCGACTGCAGAGAGAGCACTTTGATTTTGATTTTCAATTTTAGTTTCCGAGCCGAGAGTCGAGAGTCTGGGTTTGAGTTCGGCTATGGTTTTTCGGTTTTTCGGTTTTTGGGCAGGAGTTGGGTCCCGGGCTCGACAATCAATCAATCAGGGCCTGTCCGTCCGACCGGCTATCTGTATCTATGTATCGCGGTATCCGTATCTGTATCTGCGGCTGTCGTCTGCCGTCGTAGCGCACGAATGATGCCCGACCACACAGTGCCTGTTAGTTTTATAGAATTTTTTCATGCTAAAAAGATTTACGCTCGTGTCGTCGTCTTCAATTTTCTTTTTGTTTCTCCGCACATTTCGCCTGTAGTTGATTTCTGCTTTCTGATTGTTTTATTGTGTTTTTTCCTTGGGCATTGGGTATTTGGTATTGGGTATTGTTGCTGTTGCTGCGGCTGCTGGCTGCTGCTGCTTTTGCCTTTGCTGTTAGCTGGGCTGGAATATGCCAGATGAAACGGGGCAGGGCAGGGCAGGGCTCCGAAATCGGATGGGTAGATGGGTAGATCGGTGGATCGGTCGGTCGTTTGATCGATAACTCTACAGGCAGGTCACGTTGTCGTGGTCCAACTTGTTGTTGCCGCTGGGGTTTTTGAGTTTGAATTATTCATGTATTTATGCAGTCACTAAAAAGTCGCCTCCTCCTCATCGCCGACCGCTGTCAATTGGTTCACGTTCACGTACCGCTCAATACTGAGATGCTCGGGATGCCTCGAAAATGTTTGAAAATTTCGTCAGCATTTCGGAACCGACTCGGCACACGCTTATCGGAGAGCTATGCCCGTTCTATAGAGCGGGAGAGTCAGGTCGAAATACGAAATAAATAAGAAGCAGGGCAAAAAATATGAAATTAGTTTCGATTTGCGACGGCCACGAGTTCACTCCACTCGACAATGTCTATGAATTTTCTTTGATCATTTGAATTTTGCTTCCCCCCGATACATATAGTATAGTGGCTTTTATTTATGGATACGCGACACTTTTGATTTAGCATTTTCATTAAGATTTTTGGAATTTTCAGACTTATCAGCGGCGTTTGTCTGGCGATTATCTCACAACTCATTCAGACGCCCTCGCCTCGCCCCGAAGAACATTATCAATTGACGGTGATTTCCATGGGGTATTACCTACCAAACGTAAACAATGGCTGGGTAAACAAATGAAGTCACTGCTAAAAGAATTAAGAGCATTCTTACCTATTTGGATTCTCAGTTTATCAGTTTACCCCACATTCCAGGCAAAACAAGTCCAGCTTTTCATTTCGGTTTTATGCTAGTGCGCCTAAGGCAAGTCTACTTAGGAGGTGTTTTATTATCAAAATGGTGCACTATAAGGAAGCAATCGAAAGTCAAACTTGAAGTCTACGAGAATTGGTACATTGGTCTAGCTTAAATCTATTATTGTTCTAAAGAGACGTCTTTCTAGGTGGTGAACTAATTAGAGTCTAGATAAATTCTACGAAATTAGCTGAGGGTACTAAGTTAAATAAATTAGGTCTGCAAGAGCAGGGCCACGCCGGCCAGAATCCATTTGCCCGGCTTGTCTTTGGTCTTCAGATTCAAGTTGGACACATAGGTGGTGGGGCCTCGAGTGCGGGTCTTGTAGACCGGGCACTCGTACATGTTCCGCAGATCTTGCTTATCTTGGGTGATGGCCTGCAGTACATAGACGAGGTTATATGAAATCGGAATCGCATTAAGTGGAACAATAGAGTTGGAATCTAGTTTTCGAATTTATGCCAACATGCGCGCAGCATTGAGACGCCACAGATCCGTTCTCGATTCGCCGATTTTAGCATTTGCCCGCCTTCGATTTGCATTACAAACTCACCCGAATATTGATCACCGGCATCGAGGGGTAGAGCTCTTTCAGGCGCGACTCCATGATGATTCCCTGCTGGATGTCCCACCTGGCGCCCTCCATGAAGATCCCATGCACGCAGCAGCCGTCGCGCGGAGCCGTCCTGTAATTATAAGATCTCGTCAGATATCGGATGTAACAAAAGCCACAGCAATAGCCTTAGCCCAAAGTCAATTAGAGGGGCGGGTGTCGATGCTAATCGCCATGCAAAAGTACATATTAATTCCGACTACGACGCGCCGGAGCCGCGTTACTCCATTGTTTGCCCGGCAGCGACGCCATGTGAAACGTGGCTGGCGGGGCGCCACTTAATAGGCAATCAGCTCATCAGCCCATCAGTAAATAGACAATTGTAAATTGCGGGCTATTAATAAGTCTCACATATTTATACTCCAGTGCTGGTTTAAAATTAGCTCTTATGAAATAGCATTGCGGCTATTTTTAGACCCACTCCAAGCCGCTCGCTGGCCATTGGCCGCAGCTGGATTTTTTTTACAGCACGAAATGAAGCGTTGATTACATGTCACAACATTACATTATGCGACGGAGAATCGAGATCTCTGTGAGGCAGATGGGACTAGGCAAAGCATGAGATTATCTTTCGGAAAAAATCACATTTGTGAGCTAATCTAAATCTGGTGATTCTTTTCCAAACATTAATATGATTTTATTATATAATAAAAAAAAACATTACCAAGAAATATTAAATGCAGATTAAGAGAAAATTATTGGAAGAGCACGTTCTATAAATGGAATTAAATTAACACATTCTAAAAACACAACAATTATGAGCATTTTATTACTGGTTTTTATAAGTTATTTATGATCCTAACTCATAGATTTTATAAATTTGTTAAAATTATTTATAAACTTTGTTGAATATTACAATAGAAACTGTGAGCATTAAATGATCTTTTTATTCTTGGAATTTGTGACAGTCGCGATTTTAAGATCGATGCATCACTTGCCTACGGGAGTGTAAACATTCTCGGGAAGGGGTCACCTCAAGAGTCAATTGGGTATTTGCGTGTCAATAAGAGAGCGGTACTCACGTAAATTCCTCCTTCTGCTTTTTGGTCACGTCACATTGCAGGCACATCTTGTCCAGCGGCAGATCATTTCTACGGGCAGTGCTCTGCATGATCGCCGTTAGCAGGGATTGTGGATTGAAGAACCCAGCCAGCCAGACGCAAGAGGGTAGCTACAACAAGAGGGATTGTTAGGTGATCTATTTAACTAATTTACATTCCCAAACACTCACCACAAAATCAGTGGACCAGGTCTCCAGTTCGCGCAGACGCAGGCACAGATCGATGAACCAATTGTTGAGACCCAAGAGCGAAGGATACGCACGTTGCGTCCAAATGGGCGGCACTTGATCCAAAAACAGTGAATTCTCCAGCACCTCCATGTCCGACGTAATGGTCAATTCACCCTTTAAGCCCAAGTCCAACTCCTTCAGGCTGCGCTTCATCTCGCTGGTGAGGAAGTTCATCCGCTCGCACTCCTGAAAGGCCACTATCACATACGGCGTGCGCTCCTCCACCTTGTTCATGATCTCGACCATGTTGAACTCCTCGGGCAGCTTTTCGATGATCTCATCGACGATCTGTTTGACCTTGTCCTCGCGCGTCACCGTCGCCCCTCCGCCTGCCCCGGCGTCCCGTGGCTGCATTTCGAAGACGGTGCGGAAGATGTTCTCCGCCCGGGTGGTGAGGAACCCGATCTCCGCGTTGGGATGCAATCCGTATAGGTAAGGCGACTCTGCCGGCATCATTTCATCCACGTAGGTGTGATAGCCCAGGTAGTCGGTGTTGGGCGGAGCGGGAAATGAGGGCGCCAGAAAGAGCTCGCCGTCCACCAGATCCGGCTGCATATACTCCTCCAGGTAGGTGATGCACAGCCTCCGGTCCCAGTCGTCCGTTATGTGACCCCCGTACATGATCTCGCCGAACAGATAGCGCAGATCCTCCCACGGCACCTTGGCATTGGCCTCGAGATAGTTATACAGTACCGACACACTGATGTTCAGATCTCCCACGTTGAAGGGATAGATCTTGTTCCAGCCCTGCGGACCGAACTTCCGTCGCTCGGCGACCACGGCATGGAAATAGCAGAGCGAGAACAGGATGGCCTTGAACTCGGCCTCCTTGCCGGACATCTCCAGTGTTTCTTGCGTAAAGTTATCCAGGGCCTTGTGCAGATTGGCCAACATTCCAGTGGGAGGCTCATTGGTGATCTTAATCGATGATTCCAAGATGCCCTGAAATCGAAAGGAATATCTTATATATCCATCTTAGATATTCCATCGTATTTAAAATTTCAAGTTCTATTTCAGGAGCTGAGCTCATCTTAAAACATTTAACACTTAACATTCCATTTCGCATTTCTTAGTAATTCGGTATTCTTTTTAGGTTTAATAGATTATATTACTCATTCGCAAAAATTTTCCCAAAAACTATATTTTGGGTTTTTGTGAATTTTTATCAACTTTCTTGATTATAGCGGTCTTAAAATCTAAAGTATGTACTTTGAACTCATCATACAAAAATGTGAAATTTATTTTCAATGAATCATCATATTTATTTATTTTTAAAGATCACAAGATAATATTGCGTTCTCCAATTTAAAATCACATTGTTATTGATTATAGCGGTCTTAAAATCTTAAGTAAGTACTTTGAACTCATCATACAAAAATGTGAAATTTATTTTCCATGAATCATTATATTTCTTTATTTTTAAAGATCACAAAATAATATTGCGTCCTCCAATTTTAAATCACATTGTTTTTGATGACTGATGGATGTTTAAATTAACTTACCTGTGGTATTATGTGAGCCGAGGGCGTCGAGGCCGGCTCAGCACTCAGGAACATGCGATAGTCCGGATGCGAGTCCTCTGCGTAGTACTCCAGTTTCTTTTCCAGCACCGGCAGCCACTTTCTAACCAGATGGATGTTCTGCAAAACCACCCAGTGGCCATGCTTGGCCGCCGTGTCCATGGCAGCCTCAGCGATGGCTTCCTGGCCCTGACCCAAAGACACATTATGGAAATTACCGAGATCCATGCTAAAGCCCATTTGTTTGCCCAAGGCCTCCACATCCTTGAGGGGATTCACACCGGGCGAGAGGATGAAGAATATTGGAGT